CTAAATAAGCCACAGAAAGCCAGTCATGAAAATAGGTGTATATGACTTAAAGGACCGAAACGCCTTACCTCACTCTTTGCTTTAGATGTTACCTCTGACTAGTTTCAAGTTTCCTAACTCAAACAGCAAGGAAGAAAAGTCAAAAATGAAGCATAAAATGAGGGGGAGAAGGTTGCCAGTCATCTATATAACTATCTTTTCTCTTCCCCAACCACTTCCCTCTTGTGTCCTTCTACCACTGGTCACTACTAGTCGCAACGATTACGGATTAATGATTACCTCCATTCTCATCAAATTCCTTCAAAAAAAAAAATCCAATTCTCACTCCTTCCATTCAAAATCTCACATACATATGCAATTTTTGGTCATTCCCTCATCAACAATTTGACTTAATTACATTTAGCATGCTTCATTCTGCTGAATTCAATGTAATTTCAATGTAGAAATCAAAATAATTACATTTGATACTGCATGCGGTAATTTTTTTCCTGTTCCTTGTTCATGCATAAATTCTGTTGATAATGAGACACCCAGTGGACGTTTATCAGCTGCAGGATGACGCACTCCAACAGCAACAGCAGCAGCAGCAGTAGCAGCAGCATTGCCAATAATGCTATCACCAATTGGTATTACATGGCGTGAACGAGCCTAAAGTATTTCAAACAATCCCAGGGAGACAGATATATAAGACAATCCAAGAACGAGGTCCAGTTGCAGCACTGAATAGGAACGTATGCGACTTGATAGATCGAAACTTTCCCGCTCAGATTTTAATCTTAACTTATTCACATTTCCTTTTTTATTTCCTTACATCTTTCACAAACATATACCAACTAAAATTAAAATTAAAATTCTAAAAATTATCATTACACAGCAAAATTTTTAAAAACCTCACCTCACTAACTGCTCCTTTCCCAGCGATGTTAAGCAACGACTGTGAAGTCTGCGCTGTTCCAGCAAATTCACCGCTACCCGCCTGAAATCATCAACGATTTTCAGCTAAAAATACATCGAAACTCCCAGTTAGTAAGGTAACCTCGCCATGATTCAAGAGTAGTTCGCATGGGGTGTTGATACTAATACATACTAAAAAAATTCCGAGACGTTTAAAGTATGATGTACGACCACCGCACTGGCGAGAGGTAAGACAGTGATCTTTATGTTTTGCCCTGTTGTGGTGTGTGTGTGTGTGTGTGTGTGTGTGTGTGTGTGTGTGTGTGCGTGTGTTTGTGTGCGTGATATTCAGCAGAAGTTGTGAGCAAGGTTGAGGGACAGCCAGTGCGCCTCTCCAAGTGCACAATGCCCGGCCGCTTCTGCCCTATCGATTGCTCCGGGTCGCCACATGCGCCGTGCTCGCACCGCTGTTCCTTTTAGGATTGTTTGTTATATTTTATTGGTGCTGTAATTAAACCCTTATTCACAAGCTGCACACGGACAGACACAACAAAAGAAGCCCCGTCAAATGCTTCTGCTGGATGAGCCATACAGCCGATAATCCCTTTAGGAAACGAAATGAAAGTTAGGATCGCCAACACACCGAACAAGCAAAACAGCATTAGTCAAAGTAACGGGAAAAGTTGCCATCTACATAACAAAGTAATGAATTACAACTGGTCCAAGTAATCGAGTGAAACATTCTCCGAGGCCGTAGCTGCTCAAAATTTTCACACGGTGCGTTGGAAAATTGGAAAAAAGCCCCCCAATACCTCAAAACGGTAAATTTTTCGAAATTTTCAGGGCTTATAAAGGACGCCAGGGGGTTATTCGTGAGTCAAATGCCAGAAATTGAAGTAGCGCTAAAATTCCCTAAAACTAATTCTCTCAAAACTAATCTTGGAAGGGCCTTTTGCCCTTCCAAAATCTGCCGCTCCGTGTTTCGTTTCACAGGGGATAATGCACAGCACAGGTGAACAAAATGACGAATTTTATACAGATTAAGCACTGTCAGTAATGTTCTTACCTGTAAAAGTGAATCGAATGATTTATAGGCCGCCGAATCCTTGATTTTCTTTGGCATTTTTGCTGCTAGCTGTTGCTGGGCATGCTGTAATGATATAAAAGTAACGAGATTCATCAATTATGAGTATAAATAGAGCGCAAAAAATGACACCCCCAATTTTCCTGTAAGGTAATGCAAATACCTGTATGAAGTTATATCTATAGGAAGGCACGCGCCAAGCCTCCGACTCTGGGTTGATACTTGTGATCTCTATTAATAAGGAATGTTTTACTGTTATTATTGTATTGTTAATAAAGTAAGTCATCCTACACAGCCGTCTCCCTCGTCAGCGTCCCAGTCATTACTGGCTCGCATGCCGCGCAGTTTTCCGCTACACAATTGGAAATTCCCCCCACCTCCCACCTTCCAAAGTATCAGTATAGAACCCAAGATCCACCCTAAACCAAAAGAAGGAAATCCCGGAAAAACAGTGGAAATGCAAAAAAAAAAATCCAAAAAATACCACTAACATCATTGGGTTGTTCGGAACTAGAAAATCTTCCGGCCACTGGTCTTGTCATTGCCTCCGCACGTTCCATGTTATCTTCTCTTCCAATAATCTGAATCGAAAAATATTATTTGTCACAGTTTTCTTTTTGTTTCATTCATTGTTTTTAAGCCAGATACAGAAAGAAATTAAAAGAAACAGCGAGGCCGTGCAAGGCCGAATCAAAAGTGGACGGTCCAAATAGGGTCGCCGAAGAAGGTGAAGTTATAAAGTGGTTCCTTCCCACCGAAGCAATCTCTTAATTTGTTCCATCGTACCGAAGCAACACTTTGGAAAGTTCAACCATCTTGATGCTCAAAAACGAGCGAAACTGTTAGTATCTGGACAGAAATATGCGATTTTACGAGAACTTACAGCCCAAAACTACAGTTATCAAGTATGGGTTGCTCTGTTGTATCAAAAATTAAGGATCAGAATCCACTAAAAGGGATAAGCAGTTTTCACTCCAGTACACTCC